ATTTCTTATATTCGCATTTCTTATCATTAAATACTTATCGATATCCCAAAGAAAAAGAAAAACTTTAGTGATACCACTCTCTTAGTGGCTATTCAAGCTGTTAAAGATGGCGGTAAAATATTTACGACACCAAATACATTTGGAGTATCAAGATTAATGCTGAAAGATGTATGTCGAAAAACAAGCTCTGTTAGAAGTACAACAGTATTTACAAAGCAATAGGAATAAGCACTAGTAAACAGGCTTTTTTACTTGGCAGATCGTGGGTTTCCATTGAGAACAAAGTCTTTGAGGTATAATGCTTATTTAAATGCTAAAAAAATAGATTGCTGTTGATTTTCAAAAAGATTTGCCCACTACATAGCATAAACCTCACTTAGATAACTCACTTATATAAAAAAAAAATTCCCTGGATGTGTTTTCCAATCCAAGTAACTCGAAGAAGAAGTTCTCCATCAAACAAAAAAAACAAGTGGCTTAAGAAGGAAAAGGAGCTTTTAGCCTTAAAATAAAACCATATGGCTAGGAGAAAAGAAGACGGGCTCCAATACGTTTCATTTTTTTTTTTTTTTTTTGTTTTTTTTGTTGTTTTTTTTTTTGTTTTTTATTACAATATTTAATACAATATTTACAAATATATAATAAGAAAAATTTACATGCAAAAAAAATCGTTACAAAAAAAATAAAGAATTAAGATAAAGAACGCGGATACTCAAAGAAGACCATACAGGTCTTGTCACCGAGACCCGCTGTTGAAGAACTTTGATCTTAGTTTAGATTTTAGGAAAAACAAAAATAAATAAACACAAGTTTTTAACTTTTTTAAGTTATTGTCTTTATGGCTGGATTTAAAATACTAATTCTTCTGAACCGGATGATTCAAGCGAAAACAATAATATCATAGTATTCTTAATAAATAAATACGTCTCGCATCTGACTCGATCACTGATTCTTGTTACTCAAATCTATTTTACAGTTACACTGATCTTAATTGTTAATTAATTAATAAATAAACGAAAATAATAAGAATATGATTGCACTAGGTACATCCAAATGCACTTCAAGATTGTCCAAAAGATTGTGTAGAAGAATTTAGATAGCCAAATGATGGTGTCATTGTGTGAGAAGCCAAAATTATCAAATGTTGGTGCATTTACGTTAACGCTTTCGCCGACAAAAATGCTAAACCACTGTCAAAGGATGATTAACTTCCAAAAGTATCATACATACAATGTTTGCAGATACATCCAGTCACATACATCAAATTTTTTTTTGGGTTTATTTGGTCATGTGAAGTCTGCTTTTTCATCGTGTGCACAGAATTTTATTTGAAAAAATATAATGAAGCTTTAACTCTTTTTACATTAGCAAAATCGCTCCATAAAAGGCGATATCGCCCCATATAAGTATGCAATATATTGGTGTCCATGAGTATAAATAATTTTTTTTTTGAATTTTTAGACGCGATTGAAATAAATATAGTTTATTCAATATTATTCAGTAAATGGTATACGGAAAAAGCGTATCAGGTTGAACAGACAACATTAAAGTAGCAAAAGTTGCGAAATCGAGCCGGTCTACCCTGCATTTAATGTTCTTATAACCACAACAAACACAAATAAGCTTTCTTGAGGAGAAGTAATCCCATTAAGTAGTTATAATTAGTTTGGCTGTATAATATAAATCCATGTATACATAATGCAGTTATAATAAAAAAGTCCTACAAAAAAAAATTTTTAAATATCTTTTAATGACTACCACCTGAATAAAAAACTTTGCACAATATATGCTAATGGTTTTTTTTTTCTTGCAAAACAAGTAGAAATTACTAAATAAAGAACTCTGATGAAATAAATAAATAAAATTAGATCTTATAAGGTCTAATTTAGACCTATATATAAGGTCTCAGGTCTCTAAATTAATTAGACCTTAAGGTGGTACAAAAACTTTTTTTTTTATATATTTTGCTGTTTATATATAGAAATAAAATAATGAAATTACAATGAAACTTTTACGTTACACAAAGAATATATATAACACAGACAGGGACTCAAAGAAGATAAGGATGGCTGGTGTCACCACAATCTTTTCATAGAGCCCCTTTACAATATCATTTAAAGCCCACATGGCTTTAGAAAATTTACGATAGAATATTTATCTGTTAAATACTACGCGAAGAATAAAGAAAAACTCATATATACATACATACTCATACAAGCATATACCCATAAAAACATGTATACAAACATACTTATATATATGTCAGAAATTAAGGAGATGCAGTTTTATTCGTCGTTTAAAAGAGAAAGTGCTTTTCACATATTTTATATTGTTATTTTTTTATTGATTCCATAATATCGGGCCTTGGCTAATAATTGAGAAGAATTTCGACAATTGCGATTTTACTCTGCTCAACTGATAGTTATGGTTGTTAATTGACCGAAGATTGTATTTTTGTGAAAATGCTGATGTAAAAATATCAGCAAACACTTTTGGCAGCAAGTTAATCTTATATTTATATATAAATATTAATATTTGAAGCGAATTAAGTTTTGATATATTTAACACATTCATGTATTTCATTACAGGGGAAGGGTTTTCTAATCTCTTTAATTAGTTAACTGCTTTACATGCGTAGTTTTGTAGGCTCAGTAATCTTAATAACTTAGTTTTGTGTGTGTTAGCCCAAACAATATTAGAGTAAGAGAGATGACAATAAACAAGACTAAAGTAAAGCACTTTGCGTGATTTATAATCACGCAAAGTGCAATTTATATAATACACTTATTGCAGAAGATATTTTTGCTATTATTTCCAAAAACCTTGAATGGTTTACTCAATTTATTTTATTTTTATTGATTGACAGTCTTGGCAACTTTAATGAGAGAAGCTATTATTAAAATTGCTTTGCTTACCCAAATCTAAAAACACATAAAAAGAAAAATGCAGAATGCAATATCTCAAGATAGGGTCATTTATTTGCTCCAAAACTTTACAACAGCATAGGTTCTATTATGATGTAGGAGTTGTACTAGAATCATCTACTGTATGTATATAGTTTAGGAGTAAAGGCAATTTTACCATATTGAACCAGCTGCGGGTGTCAGGTAGGGGACAAATCAGGCATTATTTCATGAACAATTTTTATTAGAACCTAATTCTAGTACAACTCCTGATTATGAATATAATGAATAAATCCTAAATATTTCATTGTAAATGCACCTTTAGATCTTGAGAATAATTTATTCTGCCTGATTGCCATAATAATTTTGAAGTTTATTAACTTTAATAACTTTATCTGTCAATTTTCCTGCCCCATTTAATTTTTTTCCATCACTTAGTATTTTTGCCTTCATACTTTGAAGCAAACTGCGGCGTTGTGCACCTAATCGCTTGTGAACGTGACCAACACATTCTAATTGTTTGATTGTTATTTCTTTGCCATATGGTTTAGAAGACTTGACTTCATTAAAAGATGATGTGTCACCATCACCAATATATGAAGTGTAACGCAAACTATAACTTTTTATTAATCAAGAAAATATTTAAATAGCACCTGCAAACTCCATAAAATCTGAAGATTTTTTGTGATTTGCTTGGCATATATAATTTGTTTGCCAGTTCAGATACCCTGGTTTATTTGTTTTTCCTTCCCACATGTTGCATTTTTTACAATATTTTGATAAAACTGCTGCGTCTAAACACTTTCCATTTTCTCTTGAAATTAAAGTTACAACACCTTTCAATGACGAATACCCACGTTTTTGCCATGTATCATCAACTGAGACCTGGCATGTAATGTAATTTATTATTTATTAATTTATATCCAGGAAATGATAGTTGTGTTAGCATGTTCACAATGCTAGCAAATGTACGGATTCCCTGATAACCTTGACCAATCTCACGAAAAGCTATAACCATTTGATAATTAATGCAGCTTACAGCTTTTCCTAAAGTAAGTTTATTTGTTTTCTGTGAGCTTTCAAATTCATATTTCCAGTCATAATTCAAAGATAGAAGATAAGAAAATCCCTTTTTTTTTGTGAAATTTTGATAAAGTGTTTCCAACTATTTTCAGAATGAGCTTGTAAATAATTATTACAAGCTCATTCTGAAGAATTGAAAAGTTTATTTGAATGTTATAATCATCGTTGTTACGAAATGAACTAATGCATTTTTTGTGAATCTGTTACCTATAAACTTCATCTTTTTCTTTGCTTTTAAAGACTTAAGGAACAGCATCAAACAATCAATTGTTGTATTTGTAATTAGGTGTCTGCTTCACTTTAAAACCTGAAACTTGCAGTCATGATTCTATGAAAATTATGTGGTTTTAGCTAATGGATTTAAGATATTTTATCAAAAAAAAATTATTTGTAAGATTCAATATGACCCCATGTTTAAAAACATGGATATATTGCTAAATTTTTAGGCAAAACCTAATCTTGCTTGGCGTTCCTAAGGCGTTGCTAAGGAATTAAAATTATACCTAGTTTTTCAAAAAACTTATATCTCCTAATACTATTAAAAAAAACATATCAAAGTTATACATATTTGAAACCAGCATTGAATTCTACATATATTGAAATAAAAATCCCAAAATCTTTTTTTTTTAATGATTTTAATGCTTTAGTACTTAAAAGGTCGAATCTATAAAGATTCGTCTCGTAAAAATAAATGTATTTCAAAAACATCTTTCAATGCATGATAGAAAGTAAGAAATTAAATTCACACTACCTCAAGAAGAACTGCAAGCTGATACTATATCAATATTAGAAGAAGCGTTCCAATTATGGAACTTAAAAGAACAACGAGAAAAGTTTAAAACAATGATGGACGAGAATATTGCTAAAATAGATCTAACCGTCTAGTCGGTCTAGTTATTGGCATTAAAGACAAATATTTGAAGAGGCAAGAATTTAATTTGTAACTGTTTTAATATAAATTAATTTACCTGTAATTTTATTACTGGGTGTTTATTAGAAAATAATAAATGTCTAAAAATTAAAAAATAGAAAATGTCTAAAAAATAAATAGATAGTCCTACACAGTCCGGCGCTGTATGCGAAGTCTGGAATGGCGGTAGTTTTAGAGCGAAATCAGGGTAAATCATATATATTCATTTAATCATATTACATTAATAAGATATTTTATATAAATGTATAACTTGTTTTTTTGAAAGAAAATTGTTTAAAAATTTCATTTTTTTCTTAAAAAATGTTTGGTTTCAAAGATTACGACGTGCTTAGAGCTTAAGTTAACAGCTTTGAAGCTGTTAACGTAAATTTATGGTCATAGCAGTTGTGCTTATTTTTGGCTCAGATTTTTAGTACTTCTTTTCTCAGCAATCTGCTTTTTAAAATTTTATTAGCAAGGAAAATGGATTCTAATTTAACATTTTTATCTCGTTGTTTTATGTCAAGTTAACATGCGTTATTCATAACTTAACATAAACTAGTTTTTGAAAAGAAGATGTTTGGATTTGAAAATTAAAAAATTTTATATTTATGGTAAGCAAGAAAGAAATATAAAAAAAGACCAAATTACAACAGAAGCTTGAAAATGAGTTAAAAATAGAAGCGAAATTGATCGATCAACAATGATATTAACTAAATTTAGAAAATTGATCAGATTTATGTGAGAAAAACAGAATTGATCAAGTTGCTGTGACTGAATTGCATTTTTAAAATAGATTTTTGACAAATGTCTAGATTAGTAGTATATATTTGTATATCAAATACTGTCTTGAGATTTTTTTTTTTTTGTAAGTCAGATAAATGATTTCATTGATTTAGTCTCTCAGTTTTTAATAATTTTTAAGAATAACAAAGGCAAAAATAAAAACTAACACCTTTTTGGTAATGAGTGTTTCAACAAATTTAGTAATTAACATTAGTAAATTAAAAAATTTAAAAGTAAAAAAGAAACAACAGCTTCACAAAATAAAATAATAAAATTATAGTAACTGGAATAAGTATCAGAAAATTTTTGGTTTCCTTTAGATCTACATACTGGAACTGATAATTCAATAAAATTGGTTTGTATTCAATCAGACCCTGATTAAAAACCATTTTGGTTTACAAAATTTTTTGGGTAAGATTGGTAGTTAGGTGTTTTTAATCAAACTGTTAATAGCTTTACCATTATTATCATTTTATTTTAAAAACCCTGCGGTTTAATCTTGATTCTTTTCATTTTTTGGGATTTTTTTCTTCATCGTTAAATAGTTTTAATAAATAAACTTGCCAGGTGGTCACAAAAAAAGAACTCAGTTAGATAATAACTGTTTAGAGAGTTTAATAAGGTTTTTATTATGATTTGTATCATTGTTCCTTTTGTGATACAAAAAGGCCTATAACTAAAAATTTTCCCAAATTATATAGGTCTATAGGTAGTAAGGTCCATCTAAACATTTTAATTATTTTTTTATTATACAATTGACTTTATAAAAGATATACTTTATAAAAAAACATTATAAAATCGTTTTAAAAAACAAGACATTTAAATCTGTCTTTTCTAGTAAATTAAACTGGAAAATTAATTTCTGGGAAAGTTGCTATTTTGTATGTAAGTTGATTTTAAAATAAGGTATTTGCAAAAAAAATGTTTAAGTCACACGGTTCTTAGATATAATATTTAATCATCTAGTAATATATATATATATATATATATATATATATATATATATATATATATATATATATATATATATATATATATATATATATATATATATATATATATATATATATATATATGTATATATATATATATATATATATATTTATATAAATATTTATATATATATATATATATATATATATATATATATATATATATATATATATATATATATATATATATATCAGCCTTTTTTTGTCAGCCTCATTTTTTCTAAATATTAGGGTTGATATATATATACACATAGAGAGAGAAACACACATGCTTATGTTTTTATGAGTTTTAATGTAATAATTATTTTTACTGTTTTTTAGATGCAACAGTATACTGTGGTAATGTAGATGACAAGGTTTTGGAACCTCTCCTTTGGGAACTTTTTCTTCAGGCAGGACCAGTAGGTAAGTTGCAAAAAGAAGTTTATATGCAAGATAAGTTAATCCTTTAAAATGATCATTTTGAGTTAAACAAGTTGGAAAATGATTTTTGAATGTTGGTATCAAAAAAGTTTTCATTTTATTATTAAATTATAAATATATTTTGTTTTTTACTTTTAAATATACTTTTGTTATATAGTTGTTTTATACTTTTGTTATATACTTTTAAACAAGGTTTTTTTTTCAAGGTTGTGTTCCCACTACAATTTAGCTCCTTTCTTTATTTTTTTTTATAACTCTAATAATTCTTATAGTAATAGTAATATCTAATAATTTTGAAACATAAAGCATAAAGATTTGGCTACTTTGAAGAGAAGTTAGGCAGGGTACTATCATAATTGTGATAGTTGAACTAGGTATTTGCTTCTGAAGCGGGGTTGGCCAC